GTGCCTGTAATCCCAGCTACTCAAGGAGGCTGAGGCAGGAGAATTGCCTGAACCCAGGAGGCGGAGGTTGCGGTGAGCCGAGATCGCGCCATTGCACTGCAGCCTGGGTAACAAGAGCGAAACTCCGTCTCAAAACAAAAAAAACAAAACAAAAAAAAAATTTGCAGCGAATATTCCTGTAAATCACATTGGGGTACAAACAAATAAAAACATAATTACAACGAATGCAAAAGTGCACACTCCAGAGGTTTTGCCACTCTCCCCACTTCCAAGCATTTACGGTTCCCTCTGCCAGGAGGGAAACCGTTTCTATCCAGACCTTTGTGTGGCAGACCCGGTTTTAATCATTCAGATATTGGCTTATGGCTGTTTTGCAACATCGGTGACCAATTCTCTGATTATCCAGACACCAGCTGGGTGTTCAACAATTCAGTCCCCTTCTGACAGTGACTCCCAGAGTGAGTGAGCATCAGCTGCTGTGGATTAAGGGCTCGGTTCCACACGTGTGCCACTTTAGATGCCAGCTGCAATGGGATGCCCAGGCTAGCCACACTTCTTCCCAGCCAACTACAAATCTGGAGGTTCCCACAACCCCTACTCTGGTTTGATCATTCACTAGGACAGCTCACAGGACGCAGGGAAGCACTTTACTAACTGCTACCTGTTGATTGTAAATAATACAGCTCAAGCTTGGACAACATGCCGAAACCCTGTGGCTACAAAAAAATACAAAAATTAGCTGGGTGTGGTGGTGTGTGCCTGTAGCACCAGCTACTTGGAGGACTGAGGTGGGAGGACTGCTTGAGTCCAGGAGACTGAGGCTGCACTGAGCCATGATGTCACCACTGCACTCCAGTCTCAAAAAAAAAAGAAAGTTCAAAGAAAAGTCCCCACAAACTCCCTCCAACTGCATTCGGGCCAGATGATGAAGTGAGAGGCTGCTCCCTGGCAGAAGAGCCACTGAGATGCGGCCCCAGCTGGATCCGTGCTTAGAGACCCTCTGGCCCAGCCCGCATCCCCCTTTTGATAATGGGAAAACCGTCAACCAGAGTGGAGAAATCACACATCTAAGGGCATACAGCCAGCTGACAGTATAGCTGAGAAAGACACACTTCAGAATTCCCCTTGGGGTTTCTAACCTGAAAATATCCTTTCAGATTGGCTGGTGTTTTATAGTCCCCCTTCAAGACCTAAAGAAGAGAAAAAGAAATATCACTATTATGAAAATGACCAAAAAATAAAATGTAGTCATTCCCAACACATCCGCTCCTCCACCCATCCAACCTCCTCACCCACCCGTCCCTCCATCCAACAAACATTGATTAAGCTCCTCTTCTTCTAGGCCTTATTTTAAGCATTGTGTCTGGTTGACACAATGCCAACCACATAATTGAAATTCCTGTTCCCCTGAAGCCACTGTTCTAGAGGACGCACCAGATAATACACAAGAAGCAATAACCACAAGTAAACAAGGGCATAGCAAACCATGGGAACTGTTGTAAAGGAAGTACAGTAAAGAGGTATGATTAGGAGTAACCAGGGGGCTGCTTCTGTGTGGGTGGTCAAGAAGGGACTCTTGTGCCAGGCGCAGTGACTCACGCCTGTAATCCTAGCACTTCTGGAGGCTGAGGCAAGAGGATCGCTCAGGTCCAGGAGTTTGAGACCAGCCTGGGAAACATAGCGAAACCACATCTCTATGAAAATTAAAAATCAGCTGGGCATCGTGGCATGCATTTACAGATACTGCTACTCTGGAGGCTGAGGCTGGAGGATTGGTTGAGCCCAGGAGGTTGAGGCTGCAGTGAAATAAGATCGCATCACTCCACTCCAGCCTGAGTGACAGAGCGAGACCCTGTCTCTTAAAAAATGAATGAATAAAAATAAAAAAGGGCCTCTCGAAATAGACAACCTTTGAGCTGAGACCCAAATGACAAGGAAAAATAGGTAGGCGAAGCTCAGAAGAAAAAGACCCCCAGGCAGAAGAAACAGAGCAAAGGCCCTGAAGTTAGAGCATTTCAGGCCCTCCCGCTAGGAGTCACATTTAAAAAGAAAATGAAACCAGAGAAATTCTAGTATCTTTTATTTAATGTGATAAAGCTAAAAACTTTTTTTATTTTTTTGAGACAGGGTCTCAAAAAAAGAGAGCCCGTATCCCAGGCTGGAGTGTGGTGGTGCGATCATGGCTCACTGCAGCCTCCACTTCCCAGGCTCAGGTGATCCTCCCACCTCATCCTCCCGAGTAGCTGGGACTACAGGCACACGCCACCATGCCTGGCTAATTTTTTGTATTTTTAGTAAAGATGAGGTTTCACCATGTTATGAAGGCGGTCTCAAACTCCTAGGCTCAAGCAATGTGCCTGCCTCAGCCTCCAAAAGTGCTAGCATTATAGACATGAGTCATCACATCCAGCCTGTCTAAAATATTAACATTTCCATATGTAATTTATATAGAAGCGACTAGCGAGAAATGTTACCTACTTGTTTTTTGTCCTAAATCTTCAAAATCTAGTGTGTATTTTACACTAACAGCACCTCTCACTTTGGACGAGCCCCCCTTTACAGAATCAGTGGCCACACATGGCTAGTGGCTACCATATGGGACAGTGCAGGCAGAGACGATTTCATCGGCATAGCTATCCTTTTAGCCACTGTGTTTACTGAGCCCCAGGATCCATTATTGGAACACACAGGGTCCACAGCACACACAGGAACACACAGGCACGCATGCACACTCACAGGGCTTAGTGAGAGGACTTAATCTTCACAGGAACAGCCAAGCTATGGCAAAAACTGAACCAGGGCTCTAGCACTTGCCAAGACTTGCGGACCCCCCCAGGGAAGAAACCTCTTTGGAAGAAAATGAGACCGTTTCCACTATAAATAAACACAAAAGGCTCCAAAGAGTTGTTAACCACCAGTGCTCATGAGAATTATTTGTTTTACAAAATATATAAAGTCAGGCCTTACTCCGGGAACTTCTGACCCATGTCCTGGGGCAAGCCAGGGGCACCCAGCCACCTTTTAAAGAGACCTCAGATGAGCCACTGCTGGGCCCTTGCTGAGAACAGCGAAGTAGGCAGCGCCCAGCCCACTACTGCAGCGCCCCCAGTCGGCCCTCACCTCTGCTTCTGAGAAGCACCTGGGGCTGGCTTTTGAGATTACTACCACCTTCTTTTTAATCCAGTTAATTTTTTTTTTAAGATGGAGTCTTTCTCTGTCGCTCAGGCTGGAGTGCAGTGATGCGATCTCAGCTCACTGCAACCTCCGCCTCCCGGGTTCAAGCAATTCTTCTGCTTCAGCCTCCTGAGTAGCTGGGACTACAGATGCACACTGCCACACCTGGCTAATTTTTTGTGTTTTAGTACAGACGGGGTTTCACTGTGTTGCCCAGGCTGGTTGAGAACTCCTGAGCTCAGGCAATCCACCTGCCTTGGCCTCCCAAAGTGCTGGAATTACAGGTGTGTAATTGTAGAAGCCAGCGTGCCCAGCCAATTAATGTTTTATTATGGTAATACATGTACAACACATAGGTAGAGAAAAGTATGTAAAACACATACACAGAGAGTTTAAAGATTACTATTACTAAAGAATCATAAAATAAAAATAATAATATTTATAATAAAAATAATAAACCACATCTGGGTTGCACCGTTCACCTGTCAATGTCCGCTGGGTATGTACGTTGGAGCTCTGAGTATTTCTGTAAATAGATGTCTGCAAAATCAACTAATGTCAAGACAAAGAGGAACTCAGGAGACTCACAGACAAAGCTTACACTTCAATTACAAGGGCAGAGCCCCCAAAGCTCAGTGTTAGTAAACTCTGTTTGTTACAGAGAGATCAGTGGGTGTCGGAGAGGCACTCATGACTTGTTAGCGCCAAAACGAAACTTCCTTCTTGAGCCAAATGAAGAGTTAACAGAACTAAGAGATAATTAACTTTTTTCCGCTGTGATTCAATACGGGAAATGTTTACTTCCTAAAATCAGCACACGCTCAGAAATCCTGAGCTTAGCTTCAATGAAAGACTCTGGGTCTTAATGGTGTAAGGGTTTTGAAAGCTCTTCCTCCGGCCTGGGTCCCATTTTCAAATATTTGCCTATAAGGAAGTCAGAACACAGCACTTGAAGTGAACTAGAAGCTGTCATGGCAACGTATGAGTAAGGACATCCACTTGTTAACTGTTCTACACAGTGGGTGTTAGCCTACTTACACTTCAAAGCATGTTGTCAGTCACTGGAGGCTCACACTTGTAATCTCAACACTTTGGGAGAGTGAAGCAGGAGGATCCCTTATGGCCAAGAGTTCTAGACCAGCCTGGGCAACATAGCGAGACCCCGCTTTTATAAAAAATAAAATTAGCTGGGCATGGTGGCGTGTACCTGTAGTCCTAGCTACTCAGGAGCCTGGGGTGAGAGGATGCCTTGAGCCCAGAAGTATAGACAGGGCTGCAGTGAGCTGTGACTACAGCACTGCACACAGCTTGAGCAACAGAGCAAGACATGTCTCAAACAAAACTAAACTCAGAACTCATTTCCCTTCACCACCTTAACTACAGAGAATTTTAAAAGTAATTTAAACTGCCCTAAACTCTCATTTGTCTGAGAAATCAACATTAAACCTTATCAGGCAAGAAAAAGACCAACGGTTTATTTATTTACACTCCCTCTCAACAAAGACTTGAGGTGCTTTGCAAACAGATAAACAAGTAGCCAGGGAAACAGGGGTAAACATGTAAATAAAACCAGAGAAATAAGATGACATCAGTGAAAAGCTGGCCTGCTGCTAGATGTTAGGGTATGAGAGACAGGCTACCTGTTGGCTTTGAGCTTCCCGGCAGCCCAGGGGAAAATGGAAATACAAGACATCATGCAGCTCACTGTGTCCTTCAGATAGAAACAAACCAGATGACCAGGAACTGAGAGACTGGGCATCTTCTCAGGTGGCTGGAGCTTCCACGGCTGCCAAGGCCCCGAACCCCGAGAGCACATATCCACAAGTGCAGGTGCACACTCACCCGGTGCGTGTTATTGATGACGAAGGGGTCGGGGTTGCCGTAGTTGGGGGGGTTTGCATAGGGGTCATAGCCAAGCCGAGCCAGCATGGGGGCGATCTGGGCCATGTCCCGCAGCACGTCCCCAGGGATGTGGCCGGTCCACTTGGAGAGCGCTTCCAGGTTAACAGGCTTGATGACCTGGTCCGTGGACCGCTCAATCCTGGGGAGAGAGGAGACGCTGGAGAGGGCAGGGCAGACCCAGATGGTGCCTGAGTGGATTCCCTGCTCAGCCACTCTGGGGCAGCAGGAAACGTTGGGGATACCTGGCCTCCACCCAGCTTTGCTCCACCAAGTGTGAGACTGAAGGTGAGTTATTTTTGCTTCCTCATACCTCCTCTGTGCCATGGAAACACAGTGAAAAGCACACAGTGAAAAGTCAGAGGAACGTACTAGCAGTACACACCATGGGTACATACATTCTGCTTTCTTGACTTCTGCTTAAAAAATAATGTTTGAGGTCAGGCACAATGGCTCACACCTGTAATCCCAGTATTTCAGGAGGCCATGGCGGAAGTTCACTTGAGCACAGGAGTTAGAGACCAACTTGGGCAACATGGTGAAACCCCGTTACAAAACTTAGCTGGGCATGGTGACAGGTGCCTGTAGTCCCAGCTGCTCAGGAGGCTGAGATGGGAGAATTGCTTGAGCCCAGGAGGTTGAGGAAGCAGTGAGCCTGAGCTGTGATGGCACCACTGCACTCCAGACGGGGCAACAGAGCAAGACCATGTCTCAAAAGAAAAAAAAAAGAAAGAAAGAAAGACAGACTTTTTAATGAATATGACTAACGTGAATATTTTGTCCCTGAAAAAAGGTTATAAAACATTAATGATAAAGCTAAAAGCCACCGTGGTCATCACTGGCAGTCCATCAGCTTCCTACAGGTGCTCAGCCTCTGCACTGTGGAGCGCACCACCCTCTGGAACCTTTTCCTGTAGGGTGATTAAGAGCAGACCAGGGAGCCAGACTGCCTGGGTTCAAATGCCAGCTCTTCCCCAGCTGTGTGGCCTTGGGAGCGTTACTTCACCTCTCTGAGCCTCAGTTCCCTCTTCTGTATTGGCAATAACAGTACCTACCTCAATGGGCTGCTCTGAAGACTAAATGAGTTAATAGAAAGTACTTAGAAGAGCACAGGGACATTGTAAGTTCTTTTTTCTTTTTTGAGATGGAATCTCACTCTGTCACCCAGGCTGGAATGCAGTGGCACGATCTCAGCTCACTACAACCTCCACCTCCCGAGTTCAAACAATTCTCATGCCTTAGCCTCCCATGTAGCTGGAACTACAGGCATGCACCACCATACCCAGCTAATTTTTATATTTTTATCAGCTATGGGGTTTCACTATGTTGGCCAGGCTGGTCTCGAACTCCTGACCTCAAGTGATTCGTCCGCCTTGGCCTCCCAAAGTGCTGGGATTACAGACGTGAGCCACTGTGCCTAGCCAACACATTGAAAATTCTTAATAAGGGTTAGCTCGCTTGCTCTCTCTCCTCTCTCGCTCTCTCTCTTTCTCTCCTCTCTCTGTCTCTCTCTCTCTCCTCTCTCTCTCTCTGTCTCTCTCTCTCTCTCTCTCTCACACACACACGCCTACAGCTGTAAAACAAATATGCTACAGATTTTTTCCCCACCCAATACCTCATTCTTTTTGCCAGCAATGTAGCCTTCCTCCATAACTTATTTTGCTGTTCCCCTAAAGACAGACGTTTATGTTGTTCCCAACCTTTTGCTGTTACCTCGAAAGAACCCTCATCTACAGCCTCTTCCCAACTCTCCCTGTAACAGGCTTACCAAGACGCCTGAATGATGCAATCACCAATTACAACTCAGGGGCCTGACGGGATGAATGGCGGGGAAGCCCCAGGATCAAGGACCTAGTTCTAAATGCTTTCATCCCCACTAAGAGGTGACTTGGTAAAGGTGGCATGCGCCTGTAGTCCCAGCTACTCGGGAGGCTGAGGCAGGAGAATCACTTGAACCCAGGAGGTGGAGGTTGCAGCGTGCCGAGATTGTGCTACTGCACTCCAGCCTGGCGACAGAGCTAGACGGAGGAGGGGGAAGAGAAGGAAGAGGAAGAGGAGGGGGAGGAGGGGGA